CAAACATCAATAGACACAACTCTGAGTGAACCATGGTGACTATTGTGGTATGAAACAAATTCAAATGTTATACCTATTCCCAAAGGTCACTTATTTGTATATAAATAAGTGACAGCAGGTTTGGAATAATTGAACCACACACACACACACACACACATATATATATATTTATGAACCAGAAGTTTACCATTTTCTAACTTTCGGATAATCAACATTCTCGCGTGATAAACACCCTCACTGGTGTTTTGATCAATTGCCATTGTTAGATTATCTTTCATCTCCTCCTTCTCTTCCTACCGTTTCACCGGCTCATTGCTTTTTTGTCTCATTTACAGATCTCGAACTCAGATTTGTAAGCTTTTTGTTTGTTTTGCATGAACTCAGATCAAGTTCTCAGATCTGTTTGGTTTCTATATATATATGTTCTTTCTCTTTGATGCTATTGATGATCTATACTCCAATGTGAATCTCCTCGTGTCTCTATTTTTAGGGGTTGTCTGTATGTTTTTGTTTCATGTTTTATATTTGAATAAATTACAGGTTTTGGTGTTGGCTTGAAGCAATTGAAAAATAATCGTTTCTCTTTTAACTTGTTATGGACATTTTAGTTGTTTGATTACTTTGTTGAATGAAGTTGGAAGCAATTATTCATGTTTGCAATTTTAAATGAATCTGAATACGAAAAAATCTATTTTTATTTTTTTGGATTAGCAATTACAAAAGGAAAAATTGGAAATAAAAGTTGGCATAAGCATGCTCAATTCTTTAAATATAAGCATGGCCCTTTCAATTCATTTTTTTTATTTTTTATTTTTTCAGATTTTCTTGGCAACCAAGCAGATCGATTTGTGGAAAAATTGAACAAATAATTTTTTGACCCAATTCAAAAGCATGTCCTTATTTCTGTGTATGTTCAACAGATAAGAAAATGTTTAACAGATAGAAAAAAAATAAGTTGAAAAAAATTCAACAGATAAGAAAATGTTCAATTTGTGCTTTGTTCTTTGATATGTTCTTCTATCTGTTTGAATAGATAGAAAAAAAATGATTATAAAAATTCAATAGATAGATAGATATTTCAATAGATAGTTAAAAAAATTGAACAGATAATCAAAAACTTTGAATAGATAGACATAAATTTGAATAGATAACAAAATTTTGAACAGACGAAAAAAAATTTGAACAGATACGAAATTTTTTTGAACAGATAGGAAAAAAAATTGAACAGGTAATCAATGAAAGTCAATAAATAAAAAAAAGTCAATGGGTAAACTTAGAAACAAAATGTCTTTCAAAATCAACAAAAGTACTTCTCACCAAACTATTTTACAAAAGGTGGACCTCTTACTAATAAAAAATATCTACTGGACCTAATGTCTTAGGCACTCTCTAAATTGGATTTATCACCAATTTTCTCTAATAACTAACCTTCATTTGTCCCATAAAAATAGAGAAAAATAATGAGTTGTATCATTGCATGAATGTAATATTTATAGAATGTGGATGAAACACTACGCCAAAACAGAACATTAACGGCGGTTTTTTTAACGGTGGTTTTTTTAACGGCGGTTTTCGTTACCACCGTTAAAGATACTATTAACGGCGGTTTCGTTACCGCCGTTAAAAAAATCACCGCTAAAGTATCTTTAACAACGGTAATGAAACCGCCATTAAAAAAACTGCCACTAAAGCCCTCTTTTAACGGCGGTAACGAAACCGCCGCTAAAGCCCTCTCATTACCGCTGTTAATGACGGCGGTCTTTGCTGGCAGAGCTCCGGCGGAACTCCAGCGAGTGGTGACCACGCGCGGCCAAAGGTTGAACATGACCATTTACAATAAAACAAAAGTAATGTTTACATATTTATTTAGGGAATATATTTTATATAGAGTGGCTGTAGTAGAGTGGTTGGCATGCTTGGATTAGAGGTCAAGGGCTCGAGACTTGGGGGGTGCAAGAAGAGTGAATTACTTTTTAAAAAATTTGAACCTATTTACGGTGGTAAAGAGCCGCCGTTTTTTGTCCTATATTATTGCCGTTTTTAGTCGACTTTTAACAACGGTAATTTACCCTTTTACGACGATTTACCTTTTCCGACACAAGTATAAACGGCGGTCCTAAATTACCGCCGTTAAAGGCTTTAACAGCGGTTTTACATCCTTTAACGACAGTAAAAAACCGCCGCTAAAGCCCAATTTTGGCGTAGTGAAACGAATGATTTGGAGAAAGTATAACGTATAACGCCTAGGGTTTTAGGGTAAGAGAAAAAGTACTTAACAATAATTTCAGTGCAAGTCGACACATGAAAATGTGTACGGCTAAAGTCGTCAATGGTGATTGGGTATGGACTATGAACCCATCACTGAAAATTGATGTCGTTCACTTGGGATATAGTAATTGAAGTCATCTGGAATGTGTTATTAATGGGAGAACGCATTCATACGGATGCGGTCAGATTGGTGACAAAAACGTGCGCACGTATGGCCAAGTCACAATCAGACGTCGATCTATGAGGTAATTTCATAGATGAAAGTTGACATAAAGCAAAATTTTGGTACCAAGGTAAACATGCTCAACTCAGTGTAGACGCGCCTTGAGGGCCTTGCTACTACAGTCCGGACCCGTTTGTCACGGTTCTGAATCTAATCCCGCAAAGTGCAATGCGAGACCGATAAATCACCAAAGAGTCCAAAT